TGGCACATGTTATGAATCACTAAAATGGAGTTCCCATATTCTGTTGTGGCCACTGAATGATAGAAGAACTTCTCTTTGACTATATATATTTTTTTTTCAAAAATGAAAAGAAGGTATTTACCCTGTGACTATTGATAAAAATTGCCTGGTTATAACCTGATTCTCCGTTGGTGGTGAGGGAGAAGTGGCAGGCAGCACAGGAAAGTGGTTGCAATTACCTTGGGTGTCTAGGGGATTGTTTGCTCCAAGATTAATAGCTGCAGAAAGTGTGCCAGCTCTAGCATTCTAAATAAGTGAACTAAAAGAAATTGGTAGTCTTCAAGGCTTGTAAAGGACTGTTAGTCCAGGTAGTCATGAAAGAAAAAAAAAAAGTAAGTGAATTAGAAAAATCACTGTCATAGGCAGCTTAAATGTATAAGTACAGGAGCGTAAGTGCAAAGGTTATTCATTCTTTAACAACTACTGACACTATGACAGAAACTTCTGGTGGAACTGCGCTGCCCAACTTACTGTTCCCTTATCTCTTCCCCCTTTACGGTACTTCCTGGGCTGTACGTAGTGGTGCCTGTTTTGCATTTTCAGTCAGACACTCAGTATCTTAGAATGGCTATGTATACCTCTGTCCATTTCAGACACTTGACTGAGAAAAGTAAAAGGCTGCCAGGTCTCCTAGTATTTGTATTGGAATAGAAATGCAAATAAACATTGAGTGTTACTTTTGATTATTTCTAATGAGCGAGACATCCATAAAAATAAGTGATTGTTGTGACACACTGTAAGGAAAAGACTCAAATTTGGACATGCAACATAGAAAAGGAATACCTAGATCAGCAGGTAAGTCTGGAGAAATAATTCAGGAAAAAGAGAAGCTTACAGCACAAAGACAAGCAAAACAGTCTGTTCAAAGAAAGAGGAAAGTGTTGTACTAGGCAGAAGGTAATATTCGAGCCCAGAAATAGGCTGGTGAGTATGGGCAAGTAGGAGAAAGTGAGTATTACTAAAGCCTGAGGACAAGTGGCCCATTATAGGAAAGAAGCAAAACAGAATATAGAGAAAAGGATATGGAGGGTTTCAAGTGAAATGCAAAGTTCAATTCACAAATTAGGTAGTGTGTGGCATGGTCCCTAAGAGCTGTGAATGATCTGGCTGGCATAGAGAAGATGGGAATAGAGAATTATGTGTTTATTCCTTTTTTTGGTACTGGGGATCAAACTCAGGACCTCATGTTTGCCAGGCAGGTGCTGTGCTCTGAGCTAAATCCCCGACCCAGTTATGTATTTATTGCCTTCCTTCCTTTATAAGGCTTCAAGTTATTGACCTCCTCTGATTACTTTTCCTCTTTTTTTTCTGGTAGATATTTTTCACAAAAAAATTTCTATCCCACGAGGTTCCAGGTTTGTATCAATCTCAACCTTTTTTGTTTTAAATTTCTTTAATTTCTTTAGAGCAGTGACAGAATGACAGTCCATTATCCAAACACTTCCTCCTATTTTTCATTTCTCTCCTCTCTTCTTCCAATCTCACTCCCTAATATTTCCATAACACTTCTACAATCCAGCCCATTCTCTTAAATCAGGCTTTTATACTCAGTTCCAGCCAAAAACATCTATTATTGATCTACAAGTTTAACTCAAATATTACTTTTTAATTAGAAAGAAATATTGATTCTTGACATTTTACTAGTGATCTTGGAAGTGTTTGATGACAATCAAGTACTTGCTCTAAGTGAGCCCTACTTTTAATAAATAACTTCTAAACTGGGCATGTTGGTGAATGCCTGTTATCCCAGCTCTCAAGAAGCTGAGGTAGAAGGATTACCATGAGTTTGAGGCCAGCTTCAGTGAGTTCAAATACAGACTGAATTACTGAGTGAGACCTTGTTGCAAAAATAATAATAATAATAATAATAATAATAATAATAATGATAATAATCTCTAGTTTTCAATTTTATTTTTGGTGAACCTGGAACCAATTTTATTAAGTGCCCTCAAGTTTCTAGGTATCAGTTGGATAGTTGGAAAGTGCCTATCTCAGAGGTCCAAGTCTTGGCACCATAACACTATTTCTGATTTTTAGCTTTGTACAGTCTCATCTCCAAGCTCCTAGTTTCTGGAGATACCAACTTCTTATCTTTATTTCCTGTAACATGGTGAAGGAGGACCAATGGGGTAGATACAGCTGCCTACCAGTTACTATTTATAATACCGTTTTTTCTCATTTTTTTCAATTTTCAACTCATTAACAAATCTCTTAAATTATCTCTGTCAAAATAGTTCACGTATACTCTGTTTTCCATTCTGGACTCTGACACACTAATTTTATCTAAGCCTATGGATTTCTCTTAATAAACTGTCATAGCCAGGACCATACATTCTCTCGAATTTGAAATTCAAAAAAACAGAGACAGAAAGCTTGCAGCTTCATTGGAACTCCTTCAAGTTGCAGTAATGACTCACATGAGAGCCTCTGGATGCTTGATCTGATCCTTCACAGATTGCTAGGTGCAGTCACTGTTCTAATGCTTTATTTATATTCACTCCTTTCAACTTTAAAGTAACTATGGATGATATCAATGCCATTCTAATTTTAAAGATGAAGAAACTTAGGCACAACTAATTCAAGCAACATGCCTTAGGTTACCCACCAGAGAACTGATTCTACAAATCTGAATCTATACAGATTGGCTCCTAAGCTCATTTAAATCAGAAGCTAGCAAGTTCTTTCTGTAAAGGTCCCTGTCATAAACATTTTCTGCTTGTGGGCCCCAGCATCTCTATTACAACTATTCAACTGTACTTATGGTGAAAAATTAGCTATGGACAAAATAATTTTTTAAAGTTCCAGTAACACTTTATCAAACAGGTGGTAGGTTGAATTTCTTAATATCATAGTTCCCTGACCCTGATCTAAATTATTATGTGATATTTATCAACAGAAATGTACAAAATGTCACTTTACATAATGACATATTGTACTAGCAGGCTACTAGATTCAAATTTAAACCTTTTAATGAGTATTTTTTGTCAGAATTGTTTTGTATCTTCCAGAAATTCTTTTCTCTGAGAACGTATATTTCCAGGTATATTCTAGGTACATTTGCTAGTATTTTGCATCCTAAGAATCTCTGTTTTGTTGAACTCATCCACAGGGGATAGTTTCATAAATTATCTATTTGTGTCATAACTTTCTGACAGTTACAGACATTTAAGAGGTATCTGTAAGCTTATTACAGTATGGACTTATTCCATACTATATCTAATTTTATATGCCTAAAATTGTTTTACTCCAAAGCCATTTGAATCATTAACTATTTTGCTGTGAAATTCATCACCTATATTTCAGCATGCTCTATGCCTGCCATCACTCTTCATAACATTGGGGGATCCCCTTGGGAGGCAAAGGGAAAAGATATCAATATTCTCTTTGTAAATAGTGTCAATATTTTCTCTAATTCCCCTCTTTCTTTTTGATGAACTTTGAGAGCTGTGCTTTTCTTGTTGTTGTTTATTTCTATGATTAAGAAACTGTCATACAGCAAGGCAAGAACCTACCTTTCTTCTTTTTCTAAAATAAGTCCATTCCACAGTTAATCTTCGAAACTATGTATCTGTGATTCCAAACAAGCTAGTTCTTCTCTGTCTATAGTTTTTGGTGGTGTGACTGAAGGGAAGATTTGAGGGGTGCAATTTTGGACAATCTGCTGTCATTCATTACTGTATAATAGGTGGCAGTTGGAGATTTCATATTACCAATTCTATTTTTGCATCCTAATCATGCTAGATATTTAGTCTTCAAAAGGCTGACACAACACCCATCACTAGGACTTTCCCATCTGGATTATATAAGAATGAAGACATCTTTGCTAATAAATTTACTCTGACAGCTGCTAAAAAATTTACCAAGCTTGACAACAGACTCTGAAAGCAAAAGAGAAAATAGAAACTTTGGTTGATTATTTACCCAAAACATTTATCTTTTGGGGAAGTAAAAAAAAAAGAGAGAGAAAAGTACATTTAAGCATATATATAAGAAGGCGTTAAAATACTATTTTGACTGTCACTTTGTGGTCTGCCTTGGAAAGTCTGTTTTTCGCAGGCATCCCATTTTTCATGAGAAGATTAAATGGCTTGAAAAAGTACATGCCAAATCTGGAATACAAAGTCAATCCCTCCTAGCTCTCTTTAGGGGAGAATGAGTTTTCCCATGGAGACAAAGGTGAAGCAACCCCTTGGGCAGTGATGTTTATGGTCAATCTGGTGAAGGTCATGCCACCAGCAAAAGTGAAATTCTAAGCAGCTCTTCTTGTGTTGCAAACAGAGTAGCGCTCACAGTTACCTAGACAGATGTGAATCCATCCCCCTTGTCCTCTTAATGCTTCCCTGTTGCTAATGGTGTTCTGCAGATAACTGGGAAGGAAAATAAATGGCTAGACTAGTCGCTGCCTGGAGCTGCCACAAGTGGAAAGCCTGCTGGGTATCAGTTGTTTGGTGGCTTTCAAGGTAGAGCGGGGCATTGATTTGTTTAAATGCTGCAAGTGTATTAGTGTTTCTTATCTCCTCCCAAGCCTTCCGCCTCATCTCATTCAGAAAATAACCTACCTTATTACAGAGCACATGTGCTATCCAGTGCCTTGAAATATGATGTACTGAACTGTATTGGTTTTTTTAAACTGATCTATGCTTCAGAATTACTTTTGAACTGATTTTTTGGAATCCTTCACTATAAGGGAAGGAGATGAAGATTTGGTAAGAAAGTACAGAGTATATAGACAGGCATACTGGCTAACTTTGTGATATTGGGAATAACTTTCCCAAACTGGCAGCCTGGGAAAGTCATCCTCTTTCCCACTACTTCCTACCCTTCCTCCTCCTCTATTGCTCTCCATAATGACATCTCATCTGTGAATCTTGTACCCCATCTCTTACAACATAAATCATTCATGATAAAATACTCCAGAACCACAAATGGAAAATAGCTTAAGAGACTACTGTAGAACTTACGGGACAGTGAGGAGCATGAATGCAAGATGCTTTTCAGTATCGGGGCTGCTGCCACCAGGGAAATTTTCTTCTGATCCAGACTAAAATAGGAATTCGTGTGTATCTTCTCTTCACAGGATCTTAGTGAGAGGCAAATACTTGCCTTTATACATTCTTCACCTCTTCTTCACCACCAATCTTTTTCTCTATCTTCAACTTTTTTGGGTTTACCTTTATTTCTCTTAGTACAACAGAAAAAAAAAGACAGCAAAAAATGAAATCCAGTGGGTACAATTTTTGTTAGCACCAAAATCAGAATGGCAAAGATCTACATTTATTCAAAAGTATGCATGTACATTTTATAAGTAAAAGTACCTTGTGTTTAATATATTTATTTATAAATATAGAAAAATCAAACATTTTTTGTTTCCCAAACTTTGTAATTTAAGTCCTCATTTTATAAGAAGACCATCTTGTTACTACCAGATACATAGTTCAATATAATGGTTTATCCATCAATTTGGATTTAACCTAAACAAACACAAGGCTTTCCTTTCTCCTGCTTCTCTTTAGTATAATCCCTCAGTTCCCAGAATGCTCATGTGAAATAGTGGCATTAGGGCTAGGTGTGAGATTTTTTGATCTTGATGCTCGGTCTTCAACAATCTGCTTCTAACTCCCCTGGTATCTGCAGAGATGGCTAGGAATTCCCCACAGGGTCCTCAAAGCCAGGTCTGATCTGGACACACAAGGTGCTCATCAGGATGGTAAGACTCTTTGGGTCCTCAACTTCTCCCTCCAGCAAGCTGGTTTCTGCCTTGGAGCATGGGAAAATCTTACCATTCTCCATCTGCCAAACAAAGTCTTTGGAACTTTGAAAGATTACTTACACACCTAATGTACTCTTCTCCCAGATTCTATGCTGGAAAAAAGCTTCATTTCATTGCTGGGGCAATAACTCTTGGAAAACAAAAAATCCCATCTAGTAGATATTCATCTATATTTCTTTTAAGTTCAGTCTCAGGATCACAAAATTTCTATGATTTATGGATTCTCAAAATCATACTGAATTTTGAAACTCTAAAAATCCACCCAATTATTTATTTCTCTTTCCTTTTCTTTTTTTCTTTGGTGGTGGTCTTCATTGTTTTATTTTTTTTATTACCCCCCCCAAAAGCAAAATTCTATAACAGTAAGAGAATAGCAAAAGTGAATACATTAGGTGTCATTATCTTCAAAGTAGTTACTTAGAAGGTAAGACATAGACAGAAACGGTTCTTTCTTACAGAGTGCTCTTTGGTTTTCTTTTAGAACAATCTTACTCTTCTCTGATATATGATCCAGTGAGAAAGTCCCCAAATAAGGAGAGAACTATAACTAACTTCTTGATATTTCCCATGTATTGACTCCCTGGCCCCGTTATGCTGGTGGCTGACTTCACAGCAAGTCCTTACTTTAAGGGGGTCAAGGTAACACAGTTCTGTGTCAACTACGGAAGACTTGATGAGAAATACAAAGCAAAAAATTTTTTTAAAATGAAATTGTAATGTACACAGTCCAAAAGGAAAGCATGAAAGATAAAGCACAAAGTGATTCTGATAAGACAAACTTTCAATTTTACCTCAGAATGAAATACAAAAATGTGTACCATTGATATACTAGGTACAATTAGCTAAGTGCCCTCATTTAAGAGTTGTCTTCCAGTAGATGAGAAGGGATTAGGAAACAGATACTTAAAAATTAGCCATTTTCTAAGAAGCTCCCAATATTTGAAGGACTGATCTTTATACTGGGTTTCTGTCTATTTTCCTGTCATTCTGAATATGTTTCAGCAAAGTATTTGCTTTCTCATCAAATGTACAACTGTCATTTAACACCAACATTTACTAATTTGTACTGTGGAGCCCTGCATTCAAAACAGTCCTTGCCCTGAAACATTCTGCCTAAATGGGCTTGAATACTACAAGGGCTTGTTCACCTCCCCTCTCTTCATTTTCCAGTTGATAATGCTCTTATTTGATGGTCCTGTGATGAGCATGAATGAGATATCATTCAGTCCAAAAATTCATGCTCAACATCGGTAAGTAGGGAAGTCATTTATGGTGTTCAACTTTCCCCTCTCAAAAGAATAAGAGTTAATTATTTCTGTTGAAACCTTGAATCTAAGTGTTTCACTTTTCATGAAGTATGGCTTTCCACCCTGCTGGGAGGAACATCCAGTGTTGCTATACAGAAAATATAAATTCTATAACCATGGGTAGGACCCAGCTCCATGTGGAGAGGTGCTGCCTGTCAGAGCTGTGCTCTCCTCCCTCCCTGCTGGAGCGGACAGCTGACTCTCACTCCTGAATCCTTTCCCAGAAGTCACAGAAGCAAACAATTTGTATGAAACTAGAGCTACTTATACTACAGCCAGTGCTTCCTGTGTGGCCTAGCACAGTGCCATTCGCCAGGGACTTTACCCAGGGCTTCTCACTGTGGTGATGATGAAAGAAATATCATAGCCCTGAGTAATAGTGGTAAATGAAATATTAAACTTTTATTTTTATTTTTATTTTCTTTTTCTGGTACTGGGAATAAAACTCAGAACCTTGCACTTTCCGGGCATGCTTAGTGCCACTGAGCTAAAACCCCAGCCCAAACGAAATATTAATTGACAACCAAAAATATGATTCAGGGCTGGGAATTTAGCTCAGTGGTTCTGCCTCTTGCCTCGCAAGCACAAGGACCCAAGTTCAATGCCCAGTACCAAATATAAAAAAAAGAAGCTACATCCCTGGCACCTCCCACCACTTCTAGA